CACAGCATCCACATGAGGTAGAGAGGTTTCATGTGGGATAAGATAGATAGCATACAATCAGCATCCCTAATTTATAGCTACAAAGTTAAGTGATTTACCCAAGATCATGCAACAGATAAGGCAGAAAGAGGGAGAGATTGGGCCTACGTACAAATTCCAGCTCTGATCATTACTACCAATGTGGGTAAGTAGCTTTATTTCCCTGGGCCTCAATTTCCTCATCTGTTAATTGAGAGAAACTGATCTAAATGATCTCTAAGATCCCTTCCAGCTCTAAATCTGTGATTGTGAGACAATAATTGAAAGTAGTAGGAAGTATTCTGACTCATCTTTTTACTACCTGTCTTCTATGTTCCAAACAGCACCTAGCATTTAGACATCTGGTAGATGCTCAATAAACACTCATCAATTAACGGATTGATTTCTTGTGTCTTTGGCCACCCTTTTGAAACTTATCGTTATGAGAGTCAATGTGCTACAGTAGAAAAAGTCCTGGCTCTGACATCGGGGGACTTGGATTTAAACCTAAGGTCATTGGGCAAGTCATTTAACTTTCCAGACTCCAGTTCCTAACATATAAAATGAAGGGGTTGAATTAGATGGTCTCTAAAGTCCTTTTTACATCTACCTAGGACCAGATGGGCAAGTCATTTGACATCCCTAAACCTCAGTTTCCCCATATGTAAAATGAAGGAATGGAGTACATCACTTCTGAAGTCTCCACTACCTCTATCTATGAGCATATGATCCTGGTTATTTTGCTGTCATCCATCTGAGTGGAACTGACTTGCCCTCTGGTAGTCTTTACTCTAAGTCTTTGCTACCATGATGTGGTCTTGGTATTAGATGCTAAGTACGGTGCATAGAAGGTGCTGAGGATACTACCTTAGAAGCAAGTATGTCCTCTGTAGCAGTTCCAACCCTAACAACTCTATAATCCATTGGAGACAGAGAGCTAGTTGGCTGATCTGAGATGAAACAATGTCATTTTGACATTGATCTGCCTCTCCTGGGAGCATATAGCCTTCTGGGTAATGTATATCATTTGTCATTCCACTGGGGAGGTAGCAGAAGTTGATGGCAGCGCGTAGCTTTGCAACATCAAGAAGGAATTTTCATTGCTGTCAGTGTTTCCCCACTACAGAGCCTCAACCAGAATCAACTTCCAAAACAAATACAGAATCCCAGAGTTGAAAGGGATGGCCTCTGAGTCCCTTCCAACTCATCTCCAAGCAAGAATCTTCTCTACAAGAAGTCTGACAAATGTTCATCAAGTGTTTGCTTGAAGACCTCAGGTCAGGGGGAGGCCCCTGACTTGTGGAGCAGCCCATTCCATTCTCCGATGCCTCTAGTTGTTGAGAAGTATTTTTCTGGATGCCAAGCCCAAATCTGCCTCTCTACAACTTCCACCCACTGCTCAGAAGCCTACCCTTACCCCAACACCACTTCACCACTAAATAACCTTTAAATCCTATCTTCAGAATAAAGTCTGAACTTCTGTGGAATGGTGGAAAAGGTACTGAATTTGGAGCCGAAGGACATAAGTTCAACTCCTGGCTCAGATACTTAGCAGATGTGTGACCTTGGTTAAGTCATTTCATTTCTTTGAGTCTCAGATTCCTCACAGGGAAAATGTCTCTCTCCCTAAAGGAGGGAGACATTAAACCCCTCATTTACATGGAAGGAAATTGAAAGGATAAGTGAATTATCCAATGTCACAAAATTAGTTAGTGACAGAAAGGTGACTCACACCCAGGTCTCCTGACTCCTAGCTCAGTGTTCCTTCCATTGAACAAATCCACAGTCTTAGGAAGAGGCATAACTTTGGCTCTTAATTGCAACCCAACTGTTAGTCCTAGCACACAGTATAGATGCTCAGTAAAGACTTTCACAATTGAAAGTTGGCTTTTCGCTGCAAGCCACTACAATCAATGTTTTATTTTTCTGAAGAGAGGGAGAAAAGGAAAAAAAAATCTTCAATGTCATGTTGACATGACCTTAGATATCAAGTCTTTACTGGGAATCTAAAAATAACAGTAAGAGCAAGCAGTTTCAGAATCAACACGCTTTCAAATATCGAGTAATAAAGATTACAATTTTCTAAGAATTTCTGTCATTTTTGGAAAAAATCATTCTTCTACTTGGCATTGAGGAAGGGATTGATTACATACATACTTATGGCTTTTATAAGTTCTGAGCATCCTTATCTCAACTCCCACTCTCACTGACTCTGGTCTCCCAGAGCAAGGCTAGCTATGTCTACTCTTCAAGGTTATAGCAGTAGTGCCTGAAGAATTAAACACATCTCTCTATAATGCTGTCAGCTTGAGCCCCTCATTCCAATATTTTCTCCCCAATATCGATCACCACCTAGTATTGCCCCGGTATTATAAAACAATAGCAATAATAATCATAATAACTAATATTTATGTAGCACTTACTATGTGCCAGGCACTGTACTAAGTGCTTTACAATCATCTTATTTGATCCTCTCAATAACCCTGGGAAGTAGAGGCTATCATTATCCCCATTTTACTTTTTTTGGGGGGGGCAAAACAATTGGGGTTAAGTGACTTGCCCAGAGTCACACAGATAGTTAGTGTTATGTGTCTGAGGCCGGATTTGAACTGAGGTCCTCCTGACTCTAGATCTAGTGCTCTAATTGGTACCACCTATGTTCATTAATTAACCAACTAACATAAATTAGCTTTTACAAAAGGATATTTACTGAGAAGATATAACAAGAACAAACGCATTTACCCCAACATCTGGAAACATACTATCCTTTCAAGCACCTTGGTACCTGGGGAGAGTGGACTAAAATTTAAAGCAAATCCTACATAGCTTTCTCCCCACTGAGTTCATTTCTAAATATAGCATACACTGGACAAGACAGCATCTGAACTAGTGCTTGGCTCCTACTCTGCAAGGTTGCACTGGTCCCTTGACTGGTAGCCAACTTTACTTTGAGCTCCCATTACCAGACTTGTAGTAGCTTATTCTTCCTAACTTTTGAAGCTTGCAAGATCATAGCCATCTCCAATCTTCTTTCACTTAAAAGCAAGAAAGAGCAAATGCAAAGAGGTAAAGAATAGAGACCTGTATTCAGGACCTTGTGATTCTCAGTGGAGACGTTAAGGCCAAAGACCTCTCTCCCAATCCAGAGGCTTACGGCAATGTGTCTTCCCTTGATTACAGCCAGGGAGGAGAAAGAAAACAAGCTGGTGTCTCTAAATGTATTCTCACTTTCAACTCAGTGCCAATTAAAAGGCTCCTTCATGTGTTAAGCAGAATGGAAACAATCCTTGCACATTCTCAATTCCACACTGGAATTACATCAGCAGAAAACATCGTGCATCCTCATAAGGACTCAGTTCACATACCTACTAATATATGTACATGTTGTGTCCCTGGCTAGAATGTAAGCCATTTGACAGCAAAGATTATTTCATTTTTCTCTTTGTATCCCAGTGCCTAGCACAGTACCTGGTACATAATAGGATCTTATAAATGCTTATTGATTAATTACCAATAAGTTCTCACAAAATTAAGGGAAGAAAATCCTCCCAATGGTTTAACAGTGATACTAATGCTCTTATAGTCACAGTTTCATGGTTTCGCTTTAAACATTGTATGAAAAGCCTCTCCATATCTAGTCATTTAACTCAACTTGAGATACTCTCCAGCTCTAAATTCTATGATTGTAAATGCTGATTATTCACACAATTGAGGGGAAGAGACAGCATCACAAACTTAAAGCTAGAAGAAGCTTTAGAGGTCATCTAGATTTATCCACCACTATCTCATTTTGTAGATAATGAAATTCTGTAGAGAGGTCAAAGATAAAGGACCAAATAAAGACATTGGACTTGATGATAAGGAGGTCATTAGTGATCTTTGAAAAAAAGCTGTTTTAGTAGCGTGGTGGGACAGAAACCAGATTTCAAGAGATGGAAGACTAAATGGTGATAAAGGCAAAGCAGTGAGGACAGACTAGTCTTTCTAGGAATTTGGCAAAAAAGGAAAGAGACAGACCAAATTATAGCAAAGTCAAAGGCATTCTTATTTTTATTTTTTAACATGCAGATTTGAGCATGTTTATAGCTGAGGAGAAGGAACCAAATAGCTAACTAATCAAAATGTCACTTATATTTGGCTTTGTAATGTATTTTGAACATCTAACTGAACATCATCACAAGAGGATTTTTAGGTGGAACTTGGACAACAAATAGCCACAAAACGAAACAGATTTGTCAGTATTTCTATAGCAATTTATTCACACTTAACAATAGTACTTAGACACATTTGTCCCCAGTCTCTATGAAGTATTGGGAATAGCTTGTAAGAAAATGAAGTCAGGAAAAGCAGCTGGATCAAACCAACTACACACAGAAGAAAGTCATTCTGAAAGTGACAAGACTTTGAAGCCATTGAGAGATAAGGTTTGAAATGATCTGAAAGCAGTAAAGATATCAAATGATTGGAAAAAATCCTGGATGCTTTTAAGTGATCAAGAACTCACAAGAAGCTATTAAATCATATGCCTACTTTCTCATTTCTTTAAAATCTTTAAGACAATTATCTACCCACGTCAAGGGTATCAATGAAAATAGTAGAGAACAAGGAAGCTTGTGCAAATGATTTCCTGCAACAACCATATTTTTTCAGTCACACAAGGGAAAAAATAAGATCCTGATATTTGTTGGTTGTTGATAATTTTAAAAAAAAAGTATTTGACTTGCTAGACCAAAATAGTGCCTTAAAGGCTCTCCCCCAATAAAATGTCTCTCAGACATAGGCTAGACTCATACTAGAAGCTTTGATAAATGCAATGAATAAACAAAAAGGCATTTGTTAAGCCCTTACTGTATACTAGGCACTATGCTAAGTGCTAGGAGTATAGCTACAAAAAGCAAAACATTAGAATTCTCAAAGACGATTTAGGTCAACACTCTTTTGATTATAAAAATGAGACATAAAGCCGGGAGTCATGTCCTCACCGAAGGAGTTCACCACTGTCATGGAGGATGCCTTTCACGAGTCTAAATAGAAGAGATGAGTTCCTGTAGGCTCTGGTGTTTGTGGATGACAACGTACTGATTGCATCCAAGTCCCAGGACATTACAGGACCACCTTGCTGAGATCTACAACAATTCAGAAAGGATCAGCCTACTAGTCCACAAAGGAAAAAACAAAGTAATAGAGAAGAACTATTGTCCAGATGATGACATGAAGTTGGATGGATAGCCCATCGAGTTTGTTAATCAGTACTTCTATCTTGGATAGGAAATGGCAACAAACAATAAGCTGGGCCTAGAATAGGAGAGAGAGAGCTACAGCTGTACTGTATTCGGGGAATTGCACGGGGCTTTAAGCAATTCCCAAGCTGCTTCCTGACCCCGAGCCACTTTAACATCAATATTCTTTTAGGGATGTTGCACGGCTTCAAATCACGGAACACTAGATTGCAAACTGTGGTGACTCAAAGGACAATGGAAAGAAGCATGGCAGGTATGAGCAGGTCACAGCCCTTAGATGTCTGGCTCACAAGAAGTGATAGAAAGGATGGCTTAAGACTGGCCATGTGATTCCATTGGCATAGAGAACTCTCAGTGAGGAAATTTCCTCTAGCAATGCAGATAGGCATCTGCACTACAGCATGGTCTTAAAGAGTTGCCTGAGCACACAGACAGCATGTGTCAGAGGCAGAATTTGAACCCAGGTGTTCCTGACCCCGGGATCTGCTCTCTGTTTCTTATGCTAAATTACCTCTCAATCCAGGAAACATATGATGGGAAAAGGAAGTGGACTGGTCACATGGGAGATAGGTGAACATTCTGAATATTGTACTAGTATCCATGAAAGACTGAAAGAGGGCGGCCTCCAGAGCTTTGGAGAGATATCCTTTAAAAGATATATGGAAGGAATGAACAAGAATTACTGAGGATAAAATGGCATGAATGATGTAATCCTTACCAGTGGAGGGACTACTCACATAAGGAAAATCATGGATCCCCAAGAGTACTGAAATACAATTATCTGTAACTTACACATTGATTAGTGTCTAGCATTGTTATAGCACTTTAACCTTGTAACATAAATTATCTCATTTGATCCTCACAACAGTCTTGGAAAATAGATATTATTGCGGACAGCTAGGTGGTGCAGGAGATAGAGCACTGGCCCTGGAGTAAGGAGGACCTGAGTTCAAATCTGGCCTCAGACACATAACACTCACAATCTGTATGACTCTGGGCAGGTCACTTAACCCTAATTGCCTTACCTCCCCCCCCCAAAAAAAAAACAGAGAGAAAATAGGTGTTATTCTCCACATTTTACAGTTGAGGAAAGTTAAGTGACTTGTCCATGGTCAAACTGCTAGGAAATGTCTGAAACAGGACTCATACCCAGGAACTTTTTTTTTTCATAGAAATAATACTAGTAAAGATTTGAATTTTCCAGGCCAGCTCAACAAAGCACATCCACTAGTAAACTAGCCAAGCTTGGGCTAATCACCTTGTGTGAGAGGCCATCGTCTCTGTTAGCTAGCCTTTTGGGATAGGTATTGATTCATCTAAGGTGAGAGAAGAACAAATACAATGACAGAAAAGGTAACAAGGGGCCAAAGGACCAGCTCCCCTGGTGTTACGGACTCGCCTTTGCCCTAGGTATCACTCAGGCACAGCTGCCACGATGCTGGGGTAGAAAGGGCAAGCACCTTCCCACCATTACCTGGAAGTCTTAGAGTTATGTGGTACCATCTGGAGAGTCCAAGGAAGAGCCCAGAGCCAGAAACAATCTCTACCCCTGTCCCTGCACCCTGCCACACTACTGCTGTCACGGAGCAGCGGAGGAACAAGGAACCGCCGTCATACCGACATGCCAAGTCCTTTTGGCCAGAAGCAGACCTGCAACTTCCTGAACTCAGGAGGTGCAGCACTCTATCCGTCACACTGACTTTCATGCAGGCAGGTGACAAGCATCAAGCACAAGATCTCTTTTTCCCAAAGTTTCCACAGGGTGTACCAGGAAGGACAACTCTGAGCAAATCTGTTACAAATCCATAAACTTATCCATTTTACTAACTCCTTTTATTTGCCTCATGTTTGCTTCCTTCAATCTTCAAATTGTGCCTTCTGGTTTTAATACTCTGGGCTTTGATGAATCAATCTTTTTCCCCTTTATCTAGAAGCAGCAAGGTTTAGTAAGCAAAGCATTGGCCTCAGAGTCAGGAAACTGGACTTCAAAGCCCAATTCGGATTCCTATTAGCTTTTTGGCCTTATGCAAGTTACTTAACTTCTCTCAATCCTGATTTTGTCAATTCTAAAGTGGGAATAGTAGCATACCCCACTTCAGTTGCTTTCAAAGAAAATGCAATATAAATGTGAATTCCTAATATCCATGCTCATCAAAAAGCTCCTGAAAAATCATTTTCCCCTATGAAGCCCTCCCAGATTGATCTTCAGAGAAGTAACATGAATCTCCTGAGTTTTCTTAAGTTGCTTACTAATGCCCTTATCTATGGCATGTATAATAATGAAAGCATTTCTGTTATCTACTTGGATATTTGTTCAACATTTTTCTTCTAGTATTTCTCACGTCCTCTATAGGTTCATCCATATCAGTTGCAACAGCTGGAAAGGGTGGAGTAGTCTAAGTTTCCGGCAGTCCAGGAAGGGAAGAAACAAATAAGCTGGCTCATCATCACGGAGATATGTGCAATCCCAAACCAATCCATCCTTTGCTGCAGTTGACCTAGGAGGCTGGTTGACAGATCTTTATTCCAAATCAGATATTGGCCTCATTTCTAAGCATGCCCTCCCTCAACTTAGGTGACAGAACTCCATACAAATGCACGTGTCTGTTTTCCACTGGCAGAAAGGCAGACAGGGCACAGGTTATGGGGTTTTGGTTTTTTTTTCAAAGTTTGTTTGTTTTGTTGTTTTGTTTTGTTTTGTTTTACAGCTTCGGTTTTATACAAGGTTGACACTCAGGAGAAAAAGAGGGGAGAAAGAGAATGTCAGGGAAGAGCCCAGATGAAAGGTAGAGAAGTATTGTGGGTAATGTCACCAGTTTGGATCATGTTTCACTGCTGGTTCTCATATCTCATACACAGTCCCAGATTAGAATATTCGGAATTGGAAGGGATCCAATCTCCTCATTTAACAGATGAAGAAACTATAAGGCCCCATGAGTTCATGTGGCTTGCCTGAGTTCACATAGATAGTATGTTTCAGAGCCAGGATTCTTTGACTTCAAATTCAATATTTTTCCCACTATCATTAGAGAAAATTATAATATAGAGTCTCCTTTACAGTGACCCTCAACCTTCTTTTTATTGCCTGTATTTCCCACAATCCTCCAGCCCTGTTAGCTTTCAACTTTCAGACCCAGTGTTATCTCCTCATTAAGAACCCACTGTCAGCAAGGGATGTGATATCAATCAGTTACACATTAGTGTGAATTAAGTAAATGTTTTACTTCCCTCAGGATCATGGAACTAGATCTTGAAGGGATGTCAGGGACCATCCACTGAAAGTCCAACCCTTCATTTTCCAGATGAGGAAACTGAGGCCCAGGGAAGTTGTATGAAATAGACACATTAAGGATGGAAGGGAATTTAATGTAGAGGCCATCAAGTTTGACTCTCTCATTTTGTACATGAGGAAACTGAGGCATGGAACAGTTACATTGCTTGCCCAAGGTCACATAGCTAGAAAATGACTGGTACTTCAGACTTGGATTTGAACCTAGGTCTTCCTGACTCAGAAAGTACAGCATCCTATCCACTAGGCTGACTTTCATACAGGTAGCAAGCGTCAAAGGCAGGATTTAAACCCAGGTCTCTGGCTCTGTCATCAGGTCTTTTTAATCTGTACTGTACTTCCTCAAGGGTGTATATATTTATCCTTATCTCTAACTATGAAATAGGAAGAGACACTTCTTGATGAAGAAATGTCAAACACATTTAGTAAGCAGGGAAGGTATTTGGGAGAGCAAAGCCACCTTCCCACCTTCCAAATCACACTTCCTCAACCCCAATATCACAGGCAACTGCCTACTTCACCTATCTGTAGGGCCTTCTCCAGACACAGATAATATTTTGAGTGAAGTCTTGGAAAGGTCTCCGCTAAGTTCTTGGTGGGCCATAGGAGTTGCCTTGGGCAGAAAGCATCTGTCTGCCTTCACATGATACTTTAAAATTGGAGGGCCATGGAGTCTTGCTCTCAACAATACACAGGAAGGGTTCTACCCAGTGTGGGTTGTCAGAGTGCAAAAGTGAACAGATCTTTATATATCTCTGCTTTCTGAGACTTCTTTCTTTTTCATCCTTTTATAGTCATCTGTGCCAGCTTTCAGACTGGTAAACAAAGGGAGGGGCTTGAGGTCAAAAGGTAATGTGATCTCAATCTGAGTTTACTGGCTGATCAGCAAGGCTTCCTCATTATGATCAGGAAATCCTGGAGTAGCTGAGCAAGGGTGCATCTGCAGGCAGAGAAACAGGGCTCCAAGTCACAGCCTTGAAATGTTTCTCCAGTCTGTAGGATTGTACAACTAAGAGAGGAAAGAAAACTCACACGTCGTATTGGGCAAGTCCATTACCAACCTGTGCTTCGGTTTCCTGACTGGTAAAATGAGGGCGTTAGCCTCAGAGGTATCTTCATGCTCTTCTAGAACTCTGATTCATTGATGTACATCACGGGTTCTTAATCTCTATTGTGGACCCTTTGGGCAGTCTGGCAAAGTCTCCCAACCCTTTCTTACAATAATGTTTTTAAATAATTGAAGGAAATGCTGAATTTCAGATGGAGGTTAGTAAAAATAAAGGATATAATTTTTTTCCCCATTCAAGTTCCAGGGCTCGGCTGAAATCTATCCACAGACCCTTTAGGCATCTGTGAACCCCAGGTTAAGAACAACTGACCTTGAACCAATCTTCTCATTTCAGAGATGAGGAAAATAAGGTTGAAAGGGGTGCCGGGTAGTAAGTGACAGAGCTCGGATTCAAACCCACATCCTCTGACGCCACTGCTGACTATTGTATCACAGCTGTATCTTTAATTCAACAGGCACACATTGAATTCAAGCCAAGGTCTGACTTTTCTTTGGAGACTGTTTTCTTTTTTTTTTTTCTTTCAGTG